GAACTCCCGAGAAACCTCAATGAGCTTAGTAATCGTGTGGATATGGTCGATGGTACTGAATCCTTTTCGGAATCCGGCTTGTTCACATGGTTGTCCTTCATCTAGTGTTCTGCTAATCCTATTCAGGATGACTCGAGTGAACAGTTTGTAGACGACAGACAATAGGCAGATTGGGCGATAGTTGCCAATGTCGTGGATGTCTCCCTTCTTGTATAGTAGTACAGTCCTGCTGGTTTTCCATTGGGATGGAACCTTGCATTCAGACAGGTAGCGTGTGAAGAGCCGAGCCAATGTATTGATGAGTACTGATGGTAAGTTCTTCAGGTGTTCAGGTCTGATCTTGTCTGGGCCAGGTGCTCTTTGTTTCTTTACCGATGAGATGGCATGTTGGATTTCGGGAGGGAGAACATTGGGAACGACATATCCATCATGTAGTATGTGGTATGTGGGCAAGTGGACGTGGCTATTAAAGAGATCTGAGTAGAAGTCATGAATAATCTTCTCCATTGCCCTTCTGGCAAGCCTCCAATCTATGTATCAAAAATCAAAAAGGAAGCAACACAGACCTGTCCTCACCATCCATTCTGTCATTCTTTCTACACTGCCCTAGATTCCCTCAGTTTGCTTGGATGACTAATCCATCCTCCCAATTATAGTTAACCATTTTCTTTATTCCCTGCACTCAAATACTTCCATCTGCACAATAACACTGTCTGTGGTTGACCCCCTGTCTCCTGTAATTTGAATATTTTCTACTATTGTTTTATCATTCCAAATAATCTATGAACAGTATGTAATTGGACCCATTTTTAGAAATACCCTTGACACAATCCCCCTTCCAGACCACCATTTTGTTCTTCTTCATTACAGCAAAAGAGAAATTCATAAGAAGGGGCCTGCCACCCCTGCTCATGAATGGGGAGAATTGATATTGTCAAAATGGCAATACTTCCCAAAGCACTGAACAAATTCAATGAGATCCCTATAAGGATACCCATGACATTCTTCAAAAAAATGGAGCAAACACTCCTAAAATTTATATGGAACAATAAGCCCCCACGAATAGCTAAAGCAATTCTTGGAAAAAAGAAAATGGGAGGAATCAACCTCCTCAACTTCGAGCTCTATTACAAAGCAGTAATAATTAAAACAGCATGGTACTGGAACAAAGGCAGAGCTGCAGACCAATGGAAAAGAGTTGAATATACTGACATCTCCTCCCAAGCATATGATCATCTAATCTTCGATCAGGGGGCAAGAAAAGTGAAATGGAGCAGGAAAAGCCTCTTTAATAAATTGTGCTGGCAAAACTGGACAGCTACATGCAAAAAAGTGGGCTCAGATCTCTGCCTAATGCCATGCACAAAAGTAAGATAAAAATGGATTTATAACCTCAACATCAGACCGAAATCCATAAGATCATTGAAGACAAAGTTGGCAAAACCCTCTATGATATTTAAGCTAATGGTATCTTCAAAGATGTCACGCCACTGGCCAAGCAAGTGAAAACAGAGATAGACAAATGGGACTATCTTAAACTAAGAAGCTGCTGCACCTCAAAAGAAACAGTGACCAAAATACAAAGACATTCTACAGAATGGGAAAGGATATTCTCCAAATACACATCTGACAAGGGGTTGATATCAAGGATATACAAGGTACTGGTTGAACTCCACAAGAAGAAAACACCCAACCCCCTCAAAAAATGGGGCGAGGAAATGAACAGAAACTTTCTCAAAGAAGAAATCCGAATGGCAAAAAGGCACATGAGAAAATGCTCTACATCACTAATCATCAGGGAGATGCAGATCAAGACAACAATGAGATATCATTTCACACCACAGAGACTGGCCCACATCCAAAGAACAAAAGCAACCTATGCTAGCACGGATGTGGCGAGAAAGGGACCCTGCTTCACTGCTGGTGGGAATGCCGACTGGTCCAACCCTTTTGGAAAACAGTATGGACAATTCTCAAAAAATTAGAATTTGATCTCCCATTTGACCCAGCAATACCACTCCTGGGAATATATCCCAGAGAGGCAAAAAAAAGTATAGTCGAAGTGATATCTGCAATTGTTTGTTCATTGCAGCACTCTTTACAATAGCCAGAATCTGTAAAAAACCTGAGTGTCCCAGAACAGATGACTGGTTAAAGAAACTTTGGTACATTTACACAATGGAGTACTATGTAGCTGTTAGAAAAGATGAAGTCATGAAATTCATATGCAAATGTTACTATATGGAAAGTATCATGTTAAGCGAAATGACTCAGAAAGAAAGGGATAGACACAGAAAGATTGCATTCATCTGGGGAACATAAAGCAACAAAATGGGAGACTAACACCCAGGAGTGGCCGAGATTAGTACCAGGAATTTTGCTCCGTGACTTGGAGGCCAGCCACACGTGCTAGAGGAAAAGGAAGCTCAGATAGAGAAGAGAGCACCAAATAAAGGGTGTTGGGAGGATCCTCCCAGGGTGGGAGAAGCATGCTGAAAGTAGACTATAGACCAAACATGATTGCCACTCAATGCCTCTCTTGCAAACCACAGGACCCAAAAGGAGAGAGAGAGAACAAAGGGGAATGCCCTGCCACAGAGGCATGGGTGGGAGAGGAGGGGGGGGAGAAATGGGGGGAGGGATGCTGGAACCCATGGTGGTGGAGGATGGGCGCTGGTGGAGGGATGGGTACTTGATCATTGTATAACTGAAACCCAAGCACAAAAATTTTTAAGTCTATAACTGTACCTCATGGTGTTTCACTAATAAAAAAATAAGGAAGAATCTGAAAAGCAGGAAATTCAGAAAAAAAAAAAGAAGGGGCCTGCCAGACCATACCTCCCTTCCCTTTCTCTTGAGCCTCTTTAAGTAAAGTAAAGGCCCTCCCGTTGATCATCGATTTGCTCGAGCGGGCCCAGTAACGTCTCCATTGGAGACTTTGTTGTTACTGTGTCTGGCATATCGAATGCTCTCGGTAGCTTGCCGGGCTCTCTTTACTCAGCTTTTTATTCCTACCACTTCAAAGAAACTTCCCCTTCCAGAAACACCAGTGACTTTCATTTGACCATACTCCTGTGATCTGAATCTGGAATCCCATGCTATCAATAACATTAGACATTTCTTCTTTGACCACTCACTTCTTTTAATTTAGAATTTTCTGGGGCTGGAGTGATAGCACAGCAGGTAGGGCATTTGCCTTACACGCAGCCAATCCGGGTTCGATTCCCAGCATCCCATATGGTCCCCTGAGCACCGCCAGGAGTAACTCCTGAGTGCAGAGCCAGGAGTAACCCCTGTGCATCACCGGGTGTGACCCAAAAAGAAAAAAAAAGAACTTTCTCCATCAGCCTCCAGGACAATACTTTCTTAGTTTGACCTAGGATAACATTCTCTTAGGTTGACGCCTACTTCACTCTCCTTAATGATTCTTGCTCCATTGACTTCTCCACACTGGCATGTCCTACTCCTCTGCTTCCTCAACCCATACTGTCCTGACCTTAAATTTCATGAACTAACTGAGGTGTCCTGGACTAAGATCACTGATCTAGATCAGGACACATATACAATGACATACTCAACATTCCTCTTACATATAGAAAAGATTTCTCAAAATTAGTATACCAGAAGCGAAAAATGTATCCCCCAAAAATCACAGGCTTTCTTGTTTCATTAAATAATAACACCACCCTCCCATTTGTTTAAGCTGAAAACCTTGAATCCTTTCTCTTACACCAGACATCTAATCCATCAGCAAACCACCTTCCAAGTATGGCTGGAATGTGACTCGTTCTTTCCTCCTCTGAAAACCTCTTCCCGGCCACCGTCATTCTTGCTTATTAGACTATTGCAGTGTCTCTTTTCAGGGCTCCCTGCTTCCCCACAGGCAGCCAGATCCTTTTATGAATCATGCCTCCATCAGAACCCTCTAGTTTCCGGCTGTATGTAAAATTCAAGTGCTTGTCATGGTCTGAAAGCATTAAATTGCCTGCTTCGCTGGCCCCTCCTTCTTCCTGCCCTCACCCTTTGCTGTTCTCCCCTTGCTTATCCTTTTCAAGCCTTAGTAGCCTCTCAGCTGTTTTTTTTTTTTTGAGCAAGATTACACATGCCCTTGTCTTGGAACCTCTACTTTGATTGACCAGTCATCCTGGAATGGCTCCGTGACTCACTCCTCCCTTCCTTCAGTTCTTTCCTATGTGGCCTTTTCTGAGCATCAGTGATGAAATTGTGACAGAGTCAAACATCCCTTCTCTCTTTATCCATTTGCCTGCTTCACTTTATGTTCAGTGCCTGTCACCACGATGTGCTAAAGCAGTCTGCAGGACAACACTGGTCTAGAAAACTTTAGGACTGCAGAGATTTGTACACCTATCACCTACTTCAGTGCCTGGTACTTGGTAGAAGCTTCTGGGGGCGGGGGGCAGGGATGTAACTGTTTTCAAGAGCAGCCCCTCTTCCTCCAAGCCAGCCAGAGTTCTAGGATAAACACAGGCAGGGCTTCCCAGGGACGGGTATAGAGAATTTGATGCAAAAGCCTCATGGAAATACTAAAAGTTTGAAAAAGCCCACCCCACAGTGTTCATGGCTTCTGAGTCTCTGAGAGCCTGACTCATAAGGGGGATGGGGTCCATTTTGTCAGGAACATTAGGCAGTTTTAAAATGCCAAATACTAGGGCCTATTCAGGCATCTGGAATTTTCTTGTTTGACTAAACTATTTAAAAATATATAGGTACTACAACAAATATGTATTTATCCTTTGTGCATTATTTCACCCCACACCGAAGCCCGCCCGTTTTCAATAACACTGTCAGGCGCTCTTTCTTCCAGATTCCTCCTCTGGTCCAGGAGTTTTGAGAACCGACCGTGCAGGGTCCATAGAGATCTTTTTGGTCACCATCCTGGCGTGGCAAGCGCTGCCCGCGGTTGACAGGGGACGTAGGCACTCGCCCAGGCAGGGACACGGTGGCGTGGCTGACGCTCGGACCCTGGGTCTCGCTCGCAGGTGCTGGGCGGCTGACAGCCCAGAGGAGGAGGCCAGCGGGCCCGCAGCAAACCCCTACGACTACCGGAGGCTCCTCCGCAAAACCTCGCAGCGCCGGCGCCTCGTCCAGCAGCTGTAGCCCGCGGCGGGGCGGGAAGGGCCCGAAATCAGGGGCTGGAGAGGTCCTATGACCTTTGGCGCCAGCACCAGGGCGTTGAATGAAGCCCTAGCCTTGACCTTGACTCCAGGGAGATGAGCACTGCGTGGTGGGACCGCCGCTCGCGCCCCCACGCTCACCAGCCGACCAACTGGGTCACCCCTATCCCGAGCACCTGGTCTAATCACTGCGTTCACCTGTTGCGACTCCTGCACCTTGAACCCTCCCGGACTCCTCCTCTTTTCATTTTGGATGACTTCAAAAGTGTCTTCTTGCTGGGAAACGCTTCTCCCAGGCCTTCCAGACATGCACCTGCCGCTGTCAGAAAAGAACAAAACCTTGAACCCAAAAAGGTGGAGGGGGTGGGGGGGAGCAGGTGGAGGATCTGGAAAATGCACTCTCACTCGCTTGCTCTCTCCTTGGTTATTACGGTTTCCAAATAAAACAAGCGCGTTGGAAAGTGCCTGGCTTTGGGGGTTGGTGGTTAGAATCCCTTTGGGGCATCCAGCCGCTGTCCAACTCTACTGCGTGTAGGCTAGAGGGGAGGAAGTGGGGAGAGTTCTTCTATTTGCATCAGCCCAGAGACTCCGCAGCCTTCCTGCAGGTCCTTACTTCCTAAATGTGACCTCCGGGCAAATCCTCCCCCCCCCCACCTCCCACCTCTCCCGCACACACGAACACACCTTTCACGTGTGACTTATTTTAGTCCCATCACTAGACTGCACAGGCTGTTTTCACAGTCTGTAAATTTAGGAGAGGCAAACCTAGTGCCTCTGAATTGTTGCATACTGAGATGGAAGGGAGGGCCCTGGACTGAGAGAGGTTTGCGTTTCCCACTGATGCATCTTTAAAGAAAACACGGGTTACCTTCTCTGAAACCACACTGTCCCTCTGATCCTGCGCCCTGGATGGGGGAGAAAGGAAAGCGCTCAGCTGAATTGGGAGGGTCTGACAGGGACCAGGGTGGTCCCTTAGGCCTTACCTCCTCCCTCCCTCCCTCACTCTCCCCCCACCCCCAATCCCCGCACCCGAGATTTGGAGCCAGGAGCCCTGGAGGAAATTCCAACACTGGGAGGGTATGTGCAGATGGCTAGAGAGGGTTTGGTTGTTCACTCTGAGGCAAAATGTATTTTCCAATCCAAAGGGTCAGCACCTAACGGTTCCCAAGGATAACAGTACACCAGATGAACTTCACAAGGACTTCCCGGACCAGAAACCTCCCGCTGAGACAGAAGTCGGGTAAAGAGCACTGTGGGTCCAGCTCTTTCCCCAGGCTTTGGTTCCTGGGCTGCAGCTGGGGAGGGGTTGGGGTGGGGAGAATGGGAAGTAGCGAGGAGGGGTGGAGTCACTCGGGGCTGAGCCAAAGGACGGACTGCGCAGTTGGACTGGCGGCGTGGCTGGGGCTAACCCAGGCGCGGGCCGCTATAATGAAGCCCATCCCGGTACTCTACACTTGGCCTCTGTCTACCCACCAACCTCCCACTTGGCCTCTGGGGTAGGAGGCCCCCCAGCCCCACTTGCTCCCTTGCTCCTTCAGCAATTCAGACTTCATCAAGCCCCGTGCAGAGCCTGGAGACTTTTTTTTTGAAAACTGGATCGAGGTTACAGACCTCCCGAACCCCACTTTCCTGAGCCTCAGACACCCCCCTTTTAAAATGTGAAACCGAAGAAGAGAATGACAAACGCGTGGCAGGAGCCTAGACTCTTTGTGTTTCTGTTTCCTTTTGTATTTTTGTTGTTGTTTTCTCTATTTTCCTATTTCCCCGTCTAGCTCCATCTTTTCACATTTAAACAAGGAGACAGAAAGGGACTTTTTGTGGCATTCTTATATGACCGGTCTGCAAAGACGATGTCTGGGTGAAGAGCCCCACAAAATAGGTTAGCCAGGAAAAGGAGCCGGCGGACGTCCCCGGGCTGTGAATCTCCCTCTCCCCTTTTTCTAGGAAGGGGTTTGGGAAGCTTTTATCCAGCACAGGCCTCTTCCCCTTCCCATTCGGGCTGCCTCCTTTGTGAACTAATGACTGTAATTATTACCTCCTGGAGCTCTTTTGTTATCTGCAACCCCAAGCCCCGGGAGTGGGCTCTTTTGCCAAATGAAAGTCTTTATAAAGCAAATTGCCATCTAGGGAGGGACTGTGCAGAGGAAAGACAAATCGGAGGGAGTAGGGTGTATTAATTTTTTAAATGTAAATATCACCCTTACATTAAAAGTACCCCTGATCTGCAGGATTTTATGGAGTTTCAATCCTAACGTTTGAAACCATTTTTTGGTTTTTGGTGTTTTTATTTTAATCCGTTGCATCCAGGTGTTACAGTTTCTACCTTCTGGGTTTTGTTTTTGTTAAATGTCTATTTTAAAGCATCTTCATGTTCTGGATAACACATTCAAATTAGAAAACTTTTGCCATGCTGGCCCGCTGGCTTTAAGAAAAACAGCAGCGAGATTTGATGTGGATTTAAACAAAGAAGGGGATTCTCAGGCTCAACTACGCCTCTGGAGCCAGAGCTGTGGAGATGCCGTGTCTGCAGCTCAGTCAGCCAGGAAAGGAAGGCTGCACCCCACCAATGGTTACCTGGCTCCACTGGAGCGTTGGAGCCGGAAGCGTCTGAGACGTGGGGGGCGGGGGGGGGGGGGACTGGGGTCTACCGTGCACCAGCAAGCCCTCCCGTCCCCCGGCCGGCACTAAAGCAGTCCTAAGACCAGGACCAGGTCAACACCTTCCCCCCCCCCCCCCCACACACACTCCCAGGCCAGCCGACCTTGCCCCTGCGAATCAGGTCCAATAACTCCCCCAGGCCAGAAGACCGAGCTTCAGGGAAGGAATTACCCAGCCCACCTGCTGCCAGTTCAGGATCACAAGGTTTGAGCGTGTCCACAGATAACTCTCACAGGTTTTACGAGACTCTCACGAGGCGTGTTCCTCCAGCCCGAGGCTCCGAGGCCAATGCTTTGATGACTTGGTTCAGGGGGTCAAAAAGATACGTGTCTCGGGAACACAATGAAAATGCGAAGACTCTCAGTCCCGACGCCCACGCCTTGAGGGCGCAGCCGTCCAGGGCCTTCCCCGGGGCAGGGCCTTCCTCTCGGGTCACCCTGGCCTTCGCTTGTGGAAACCCGGAGCTGGCAGTGATGCACTTGAGGTTGCTCTCCGCCATCTGGGAATGCGAGGGGGATTCAGAAGCCCCCCAAGCTGTCAAAACGGCCTCCCTTTGTTGAAGAGCTTTTAGAGAAAGGACAGTGTTTGACGATGACGTTCTTTCTGTGCTAGCAGAGAAAGAACACCACCACCTCCCCCCTTATAAGAAATAGAGAATCTTGCCCCTAAGCCCTTCTGACCGCCACGCTGGAAAATTCTGGGTGGGGCGAGGGGTGTCATGGGTTTGATGCCTGCTAAACAACGAAGCAAGCGACGACTTCTTTCTGCGGCTTCGGAGGGCTGAGATCGCTGAGTCGGAGGGAACTCCAAACGCCTCCCACGCACACGCCGATTCCCGTCACATCTAAGCTCGAGGCCGTGAATGTGTCCGTGGGCCAAGGTCGCCAAATGACCTCATCCCTTCTTCACCCCGCCGTCCACCCAGCCTGTTTCTCGGGCGTCTCCGCCCACCCCCTTCAGGAGGCTTCAATGCATTTTATTCCGCCCGAGGACCTCCCTGATAGACTCCAGTGTGCATTTTAATTGCCTCCATCAACAATCTTTCTCCCGAGCCGTCAACCCGAACCTGGACGGTGGCTCCAGCGGCCACGCGATCGGAAGGGCAGGATGCAGCTTCCCGGGGGACGGCGCGGCTCAGTAGGCAGCATTACGCGCTCTTAAAGAGCTGCAATGAGCCCGTCAGCTCCCGGGCGCCCTCTCCCCGCGGTCCCCTCCCCCGGCTCGCCCTGGGGGATTCAGGTCCCGTCCGCTGGCGCTCTAGAGGTCACCGCGACCTCCCAGCTCCCGCTTGGAGCCAGGGGGACGGCGCCTTCAAGCCCGAACCCCGAACCAGGCCTCAGAGTCCGGTGCATCTCTCAAACTCATCTCGGCCCGGCCGGGGTCTCTGGGTGTTTTGGTCGCCGCTGCTTTGGTACCCTGGACAGCACACACGGGCCCGGCGGGGTCGCCAGCACCTCCCGCTCGCGCTCCCCCGGGGCAGGCTGGCCCGCACGCCTCCCACCCCCTCGCTCTGACTCCAGCTCGTGCGCACTGTCTGCTACGCACCCTCACGACTCAGCGCCCCTCCCGCTCCGCACCCCCCGCCGTTTCTTTCCCTCCGCCGCCCCCTCATCCATCCCTATTAGGCTCCCCCTCCTTGACAATCACGCTGCGCTCGGCTCTTCGCCGTCTCCTGGCTGGGAGCGAGGAGGGTCGGGAGCGCTTCACCGTTAACCTCCGCCAGCTCTTGGACCCCGGCACCCGTCTCGGGCTGCCACGTACCGTCGGCCGCGCGGCGCCCCCTCCCGCCCCCCGGCGCGCGCTCACGGCTGAGCCCACGGCAGCTCGCGGACACTTGGCACTCGGCGGAGACCTGCTCCGGGCTCGCAGCGCCAATGGCATCTCCCGGCTCCGGCTTTTGGTCCTTCGGCTCTGAAGATGGCTCTGGGGTTCCCGAAAACCCCGGCACAGGTAGGAGACCCCAGACGTGCGTCGGGCGAATTTTCGGATGGTTTCGGGAACTGGGGGGAAGACGGAGATTCCCCCCCCACCCCCGGCCACCCGCAACAGGAAACTTCAGACGTTTCCTTTTGCGCTGGGGTAGGTCTTGATGGTCTAAAAGACACCCCTTCCCCTAGACCTTCATTCCCCGGGGGAAACGCCCTAAGGCACCCGGGATATTTTGTCGAAGTCTAGGAGAGACAACCCATCCCCCCCCCCAAACAGCGGTGCCTCCGCGATACCGAATTTCATGGGGTCTGTCTGGGACACAGCCACCATCTTAGCGACTGTCTGTACCCTGGAGAGGGACAGAGCGGCCAGGTTGAAAGGGGAAAAAATGGGATTGGGGAGCAAATTCTAGGTCCGGAAGGCGAGTGAGCGGGGAAACGGACTGGCCGCGGTGCGGATGTCGAGGAAACTCGCCCAGATGAGGTAGGAAGCGGCGGGACGGGGGGATCTGGCTGGCCCGAGGGAAACCTGCAGGGCGAGTGCAAACCGGTTGCCGTTTGCGCTTCACCTTGGGGCGCGCAGGGGCCCACCGAAGGCTGCTCGAGGCCGCCGGGCTCCGGCCTCCTCCCGCACCTGTCGGACCCGGACCCCCGGCATCTTTCACATAGAACCAAACGTCGAGCGCCGGTGCGCGGTTCCCCGTCTGCCTCTCCGTCTTCCCGCCTGTCTTTCCTTGCAGCGAGAGCCTGGTGTCAGGTGGCGCAGAAGTTCACGGGCGGCATCGGGAACAAGCTCTGCGGTGAGTGCTGTGCTTGGAGGGAGGCGAAGGTCGGAGTGCTCGGGGTGGCGGGCCCCGGGGTTGCGGGAGGGAGGAAGGGAGGGCAGGCGGCGGGCGAGTGACCGAGGCCCGCGCTCCGTGTCCTTGGCCAGCCCTGATCTACGGAGACGCCGAGAAGCCGGCGGAGAGCGGCGGGAGCGAGCCCCCGAGGGCCACCTCGCGGAAGACCGCCTGCACCTGCGACCAGAAGCCCTGCAGCTGCCCCAAAGCCGATGTCAACTACGCGTTTTTGCACGCAACAGGTAAAGGAGCCTCGAGGGGCCCCTGCTCGGTTTGGGGCCCCCCGCTGCCGAACGGGATCGGGGCTGCGAACCCCACCTGAAGCAGAGGCTGCCCCTTGGAGTCTCTCCAGTCCCAAGCCAGAAACTTAGGGCCTGCTCCTGATCCCAGCCCCGTGCCGCGGGGCGCCCGAGTCCGACGCTCCCCTGGGCGCGCCGCAGGTGGCAGGCCCGCCTGCCCCGCAGCCCCGGGTCGCGGCTCCTGGGTGTCTCGTAGGCCCCCATTGGAGAATGGTTGCGCCTTTCTAGGTCTTTAGATCGCTGGAGTCATTTATAGCCGCTATTTCACTGGAGAAAGATCGTTCACGTGAGATCTGTATGCGGCTTCACTCTCCTGCGTTTAACACATCCCAAACAGCGCTCCCAGGCGCAAGTACACACAAACAAGTCTCTCTCCCTCTCCCTCCCTCTCCTTCCCTCTCCCTCCCTCTCCCTCCCTCTCTCTCCCTCTCTCTTTCCCTCTCTCTTTATTTCTCTCTCTCCGTCTCTCATCTCTCTCTCCTCTCTCTCCTCTCCTCTTTTTCTTTCTCTCTCCCTTTCCTCCCCCCCCTTTCCCCAAGATCCTAACATTGCACATTTCATTTGGTTTACCCAACAGCACTCCCCAAACCTGTCATCATCCCATGATTATTTAAGATGATTCACTGAGAAATCATATTCGGAATGAAGCCTTGTGATACAGACAAATGGAGTCATTTTTTCTTTTATTTATTTATTTATTTATTTTTAAGGGGGAGGAAGGAAAACAGGAGAGCAAACAGTAAGTGATAGATGTAAACATCGGGAGTGTTTAGGCTGGGGCAGAGGGAAAATCGTTTAATCCCTTCATTTAACTCTTTCTTTTTTTGAACCCCACCTTTCATTTTAAAGCAAATGCTCCGTGTTTCCAAAAGCTTTTTTTTTGTCTTTTGTTATTTGTTTCTAAACACAAAATCTCCCAGTTCACAGAGGATGTTGCAGCATCAGTTCTTGTATGTATATTTTCACAGCAAAATTAAAATGTGGCATTTTGATTCCATTTTAGACCTGCTGCCAGCCTGTGATGGAGAAAGGCCCACTTTGGCATTTCTGCAAGATGTGATGGACATTTTGCTTCAGTATGTGGTGAAAAGTTTCGATAGATCAACCAAAGTGATTGATTTCCATTACCCTAATGAGCTTCTTCAAGAGTATAATTGGGAATTGGCAGACCAACCACAAAATTTGGAGGAAATTTTGATGCATTGCCAAACAACTTTAAAATATGCAATTAAAACAGGTATTGTGTGATCTGAAATAAAGCTTTTTTTTCTTTTACAATTTTATTTTTCATGAAATATTTTGCTTTCTGGCAATACTGATGTTTTTAAGTAAAATTATTTTTCAATTTAAAAAATTCCATTATTGCACTGATTAAATTCGAAGTAAGTTTTACTATTCATATTAACATTACCGAACTTGAAAATATTGGAAACATTATCTAAATATAGTCAGATTTCATATTGCATATATTTAGTTTTGGAGATTAACCACTGGTGTAGAAGCAACCATTTGTCAGCAGAGGCCAGTAGAAACAACCTAAAATGAAGAAAGAAGGGAAATATGAAAATAATAGCTCAAAAAGCATAAGCCAGACAAAAGCCCAAATAGCATTTGTAGGACTGGTAATTTCCTTGGCATAGAGATGGTTAGAAGTTGGTTAAATCATCCTATGTAATGATCAAACCAGCAAGATGACATTTTTCTCACTGTCTTAAGTAACCCAAAAATTAAAATCTGAATTTCAGATGACTTCAGTTAAGGAAAAAAATGTGCACAAAGCAAAATATAATGATAGCTTCACAACTCTCCCAGATTGACTACTCATCAGGAGTGACTTTGAAGCAAACACCAATACATTTTCTTAGAAGTCACCCTGTTTACAAGATTAAGAAAAAGAAGGGATGGAGTGGGGAGAGGCAAAAAATATTCAGTCAAATATTCTTAGACACAAATTCCATAAAAACCTATTTGGTAGTCTGACTTTTTGTTTTCACGGTATTCTTTATATCCTATCTATTTTATGGCCCCAAGTGGAACATTTTGGGGGCATGCAGCCCGAGATTTCTTTCTCAGCTATTCTTCTCCCCACGACTTGTTTGTACATCTTCCTTTCCTGCATTGTCTCTAACTATCTAGCTGCAAGGTGGCACACACTTCATTCAAGTCATAAAAATAAGTACAAATGAATTTCTGGGAGGCATAGCTTGTGGGTCTATATTGATCTGTAGGTTTAAAAACATTTGCTAGCAAATGAAAGGATAAAATACTACTTGAATAGTAATTGCTATAGCAATTTGATCTTTTTTACATGCAAAATTTTTGTTGATACATTATCAGTATCATTCAAGTGAACAGTAAGCGTTTTAAGAATTTTGCTGTGGAACTTTTAGCTTATTCACTTATTTTGCACATACTTTATGTCAATAGAAAGAAAATGAATACTAGACAGATCTGAGGGAAGTGAGTTCATTGAATTATTAATAATCACTTTGTGAGACTATAAACTTAGACCTAGGGAGATAGGAAAAGGAATTTAATTTGGAGATTTTTTTCAAACTCAGTCTGTGGAGTGTGATTTTTGAAAGTTTATTAAAAATCATTCTCATTTTACTTAAAGAGAACTCACGTGATGTTTATACTAAACAATTGAAGTTTTTTCCTCCCAGATTTTTTTTGTATCTGTAGGTGCAAAGATGAACAATTCTTTTTTATTTGACCCATTCCCCTAACCTAATATTTAAACACATTAGCAGTAAGTTACTACCTATTATTTTATCTATTATTTTACTACCTATTATTTGGGTTTGGCTACCAACACCCCCCCCAAAAAAAACATTAAAGATGTACTATGTCTTTATCCTTAGAGCTAGTGGTGTCTAAAAGGCAATTTTAAAGATTTACTATAATGCAAATTGCGCGTTAATAAAAGTAAGGACTCTTTCTGTTGGTGTTCTGCTTAATATGAGAAAAATATGAGCTAATTTTGTTCTTAGATTTTTACCATAATGCTTAGAAAACCATTAGTCAAATGTAGCCCTGATGCATTTTATTGAAAGTTTAGTAGAAAATTGACTAAGATGAATTTCTAAATAAGTCATGGCAATATTAATAATAATATCGATAGTATTCATGTTTTTAGCCTTCTGTCTCCTCAGCATCAGTGACATGCTCTTGCATTTCAAATAACAGCGGCCACTTTCTCTTTTTGATTGGCAAATTTATAGTTTTTTTGCTCCAACTTGTTCTTGACAACTATTTCGAGTCTGAGATATTTACTATCCCAGTATTTTAAGATTCCTGGAGAGATTCTTTTACAAAACGCATGTTGTCACTTGGTTTCTACCAAGAGTCCTTAACCTAATTTCCACTTTGGGCTACGAGCTCAGAGAGGAGTGTGGTGCAGATAGGGAAACACTTTACGGTGAAATCCTCTGTGCTGTGGCTAGAATTACCTCTTTAAGCAATGCTAAAAGTACCAAAAACGGGAGAATGATAGAACTGGAATCATGAGCATTGCAGGAGTCATTCGATCTGGTGGAGGTGGTGGCAGGGAGCGAAGGGGTTAATGGCATCTTACCGCTTTCAACCAAACCATCAGACAAAGGAATTGAAGGGCCAATTTTCCGGGTGGCCCTGAGTGCCTGTGTCTAGCACCTAGAATGCAGTTGGGACCAGCGTTGTGTTCCTTTCCCCATTGACTGTGGGGAAAGGGACCCAAGGGGTCTGAACTGTCGGAATTGGTTGTTCTCCCAGAGTCTAACGTATCCTTCCTGGCTCTCTTGCTGAGCAGTGGAGAGCATTCCAGGGGCACTAAGAGCTCTAATATCACGTCTCGAGTTTATCATCTCTAGTGCTATGCAGGTTGCACAGAGCACCCGTGCCTAGCCTAGCGCTAAGCGCTACGTTACCTCCTTACCTGTCAGCAGAAACTGCAGCTGCAGCAGCTGAATGCGGGGAGCTCCCTTCATAGGGGGCTGTCTCCCAAGAGCATCCCTCACCTCCTTGCTCTCAGAGATGCTTTGGATTTGCAGGCAGCCTATAGGGATCATGGGAAGAGAGCAAAAGACGCTAGTTCCTCTGTATACTTTTGCAGAAATCAACGTATTGCTCTCATCTGTCAAAAGACTTCCTTCCGTATTTTCTTTCACATTCTGAGTGGACAGAAATTTAGAGGCAAGAGAGATTCGGGTGAAATGATAGTCCAAAGTATAAAAAATGAACAAAAAGTGAAGGAGCCACACATTTCTAGCATCAGTCTTGTTTCTGCAAGTCCCTGGAGGTACTAGTCTGGATGCTTTCTCCTGAGGTCCTGGGCTCCCAACATGCCTGGGAATCCCTTTCAATTGTAAATAGAGGTTTTCACGTCATTATTCCCCCAGAGGTTAAATAATCTGTGATACTAGACATCTATGGGGGGTGGGGGTGGGGCTGGGGGGGATAATGCATATGGATGGGAAAGTAGATTAATTAAGTGCTTTGCTGATCCATTTTCGTTCCCTCACTTTAAAAAATGGTTTTGGGAAAGAGAAATGAAGGGGCATCAGGATGCAGAAGACAGCTATGATTTCAGCTGTGAGCGCTAATGAAATGGAGAGTCAATGAGGCAGAGAGGAGTGAAGGGTGGGCTCACGCCAGCAGCAGCAGCAGTAGCATGGGTTTTTTTACTTTCCGTGGAAACTGACAGCAGTCAGCATTAGAGAAAGGCTGGAAAAGAACAGAAAGACAGAAGGCACCACGCAAAGCCCCAGCAGGGGTAAGACAATGAGGGCGGATAAGAAGGAACAAGACTTGCACAAATCCCAACAATTGTCCAATGTGCTTTTCCCAATTCCTCGTTTTCGTCCATGTCTCATCCTCTAGCCACATGCCAGAGGCTGATAAGCAAACCCTGCAGTCCTGGAGATTAGCTCTGTGTTGATTCCTGTGTCTGATTTCCCCACTGCCCTTCTTTATCTGGTTTTGCCCAGGCTGTGAAGGAGAGACTATCTCACCACCAGGCTTCAGATTATCATGTGCCCAGGTGCCCAGTAAGGACTAGGGGTCTTTTTATCAGATGTTAACACCGTAACTGTTCATTTTCCAAAATTTCAGCTGCTTGGTAAATTACAGTTTTATAAATGACTTATATGGGTCAAGACAAGGGATTGGAATTCTAATTTACAATCACAATTGGAGACATTTGCAATAACATCTTAAGTAATAGCCCTGGGAGCCTTTAGATATGAAATCCTTTTGAGGGGTTTGGAGAAATCCAGAAGCTAATTAGATAAGCCTTAGTAATGGACTGATCAGTTTATTGATTATATCTTCCTGTATTTTGTTGACAAGACAGCACTACTGTATTTTAAATCTCAACAATGAAGGAACACTGCTGTTTACACTCTAATATTTTAAGAGCAAATAATTGGCAGAAATTAGGTGTGCCCATGCCATCTTTAATATATCATTATCTTTTGAATCCAGGGAAAATCACTCAACTGTGTCCTGGTTCCTCATTTTTGCCTTGTCTGTAGTAGCCATCAATCATTTATCACCATTATTAAAAGGAACGTTGGTGTGTCTGGAGGATGTCATGGCTTTGTCAGAGCAAGTTCAATAGAAAAGGATATTTTTTAGCAGTGTAAACATTTAGATATGAGAAGTTGACTATCTTGAAATAACTTTGGATCGCTTGAGCTAGTTAGTTTGCAAATATATTGAAAGAATATTATATAGGAAAGAACACGGGAGATTTACTGGAACCCAGACTGCAACCTATATTGGGGATATTTTACAATGTATGTAAGGATTTTTCTAGATTGTGCTTTAAGAAATACTTAAAGCCCAAAGTAGTCACTTTTATCAGGAGAAGTCACTTTTGTTAGGAGAAATGCTCTGTGTATATATCAGTGAGTATGCATGTGTGTATACTTGTCTGAATATGGGTTTGTAATCCTTGAAGGGTCCTCCTAAATTCCTTAGTTAGATAAATCATGTGTTTAAGAGGCCCTTATTCTTATTTTATTTTTTTTTCTTTTTGGGTCTCACTCGGCGATGCGCAAGGGTTACTCCTGGCTCATACACTCAGAAATTACTCCTGGCAGTGCTCAGGAGACCATATGAGATGCTGGGAATTGAACTCGGGTAGGCCACGTGCAAGGCAAATGCTCTACCTGCTGTGCTATCGCTCCAGCCCTGGCACTTATTTTTGCTGAGTGCAATACTGATTCTGGTATTCCATTTTATTCAGGGCATCCCAGATATTTCAATCAACTCTCCACTGGCTTGGATATGGTTGGTTTAGCAGCAGACTGGCTGACATCCACAGCAAATACTAACATGTAAGTAGTTAAATGTGTTTCCGTATGGTCTAATTATTAGTGAGATTTCACAGTCTTTACTTATTATGTTAAAATATTCTTTTATTAAGTAGCCCCAAAATAAAGGTACCAAGTTCAGAAATACATGAGTGTTTGATCTGTCTTAGTGGAGTAAAATCATGATGTCTTTCATGTGATCAATGCTGTACAAAGAACTTAAAATAAAGGATTTTTCTGGCTTTTTGAACATGTATAATCTAAAAGAGATATGGAGTCAGCTGTAGTTTTACTCTGCAATGTTCTTTTTTCAATATGATAACTGATCTTTGTGAATTATGTCAGTAATTATAGTTCTTGACTTTCAGGATATAGAAAAATGAACAAAACTTTCTGGCATTTATAACATTTGTGAAAATGTACTTGAAAAGGGAAATGGTTCTGTACATATTATGATACTGATTTTTTTTCCCTTTGAGTTACACATGTAAAATGTGGCCATTACTACATTTCAGGTTCACCTATGAAATTGCTCCAGTATTTGTGCTTTTGGAATATGTCACGCTAAAGAAAATGAGAGAAATCATTGGCTGGCCAGGGGGCTCTGGCGATGGGATATTTTCTCCTGGTATATAATATTTCAACCTTTCTTTGTGTTTTTCTTCTGACATGCAATGCCTCGTGATGAGCTTAGGAAAGATTGAGAATCTAGCCTGTATTTCTCCTTTGGCTGACTCCCTGTTGACCACAAGAATGAGAATCCTGGGGCTGGAGCAATAGCACAGCTGGTAGAGTGTTTGCCTCGCAGGCAGCCGATCCGGGTTCGATACCCAGCATCCCATATGGTCCCCTGAGCACCGCCAGGGGTGACTCCTGAGCGTAGAGCCAGGAGTAACCCCTGTGAATTGCCAGGTGTGACCCAAAAAGAAAAAAAAAAGAATGAGAATGCTGCAATTCACATAGCTATTGACCAGACCTCCAGGTCAGCTTAAATGTTGGTCAATTTTTGGAAAGAGCATAATCAGCTCAGTATATAGCACTGCTGGTACTTACCCAGTACTTGTACGGGACCTACCGTAGGTTTTATGAGTCGCACAGAGCATAAGAATAAAGAATTCACTCTTATGTGCTCTGCCCAGAGTTAGTGAAAAGTTGACTTATCTAATAAAACAGATAGTATAGCAGGTAAGGTGCTTGCCTTGCATGCAGCTGACCTGAGTTCGATCCCCAGCACCACACATGGTTCCCCGGGTACCGCCAGGAATGATCTCTGAGCACAGAGCCAGGAATAAACCCTGAGAACCACTCAGGGTATGGCCCCCAATTAAAAAAACAAAAACAAAAACAGTCTCTTATGAAATACATAACAAGACAGATGTACTTAATAAATCCCACATACCCTATTCCTTTCAAATAAAGGGTAGAGAAATTGATTTTAAGGACAGAGAATGCCTCAAGACAATTTCTTAGACCTAAGAAGAAGGTGATGATTTCTTCTAGCGGTTCCTCATTTCTTCCCTCCTTTCTCATGCCAATCTTTTGCACCCTGCTTCTTTTTTGTTTGTTTGTTCTTTTTTAATCACCAGCCATTGCATCATCAGGGTCATTATTTACTCCTCTTCCAGCCAAAGAGATTTGATTTAATCAAAAGCTCTGCCCTTGAATGGGGCACTGTGTAAACTTAATTTTATACAGAGGAGAAACAAGTCAGGAAAGTAATGGACAAGAGAATCAATGGCCCAGAGAAAAAAATCCTGGGGTAGAGCTGTTCACCTAAGGAGAGGTGGTGTCATCAGAACAGTACACTCTCCCCCCAGGCTCAGCACACAGGGACTGATCCAGACAGAGGCCAAAGGCACACCCACATTGTGTTAGACTTAAGAGTTCCTCATGATGCAGCCGCAGAAAGAAGGAAAAGTGAAAAAGAAACGGCAACAGAAGAATAATGCTGAACAGGCAGCAGCAACTTCAATGCTTGGGTTTAAATTGGGCAGGTTTCCCTGCCAGTTCAGGTCTGCTCATTTATTTGATGTTTTTAATGATAGAGCATAATTTTTCAGGTGCTGAAAGGAAATGTGTTAGTTAAATGGAAGGGAAAATTAGCCTCTTTCCTTTTGTCACTGAACACCAGCTGTGATTAATTTTAAGCTACCCTTAATTTGGTGGGGAACTTTGGATATAGTTTCCTATCAGAAAAGTCAACCTCTCCTAAGGAAACTTTGTCATTATTGTCCAGAATCGATACTTTGAATGTACTTCTCATGAGGCACTAGTAAGTTTAGAAATCAGTATCGTTTCTCTATTTTGATTCTTCTGCTTCTGTGGTTGGTTGTGTGATTGAGCTGTCCGGAAGGCAACTCCTGGACTCTCTACTGGTTTCCAGGGGTCAGGAGAAAACAGCTGTTCCTGTTGATCCTGAAAATTTGATAAAGGGGCTTGGGCCAGGCCTCACTTGTCTAGCATTTATTTATCAACCCACATGCCTCAGAAAGTCTACAGTCGGCGAAGACTTCTTTTGGTAGTTTGCTGAGCTAGGATGAGTCTTAAGTGCTGCCTGACCTCCCTCACCAATGATGGGGAACGTTTCCGAAACCTAAGCTAGATCTTGTACTGTAAAGACCATATGCTGTCCTCACTCCAAGTACAGCATGCTCTACATGTCATACTGCAGTCTCGTGTAGACACCATAGAGCTGAGAAAGGACAGAGGACAAAGCTTTGACAACATGTTATTTAGCTTTCTGCAGAGCATATTGAGGAGAAGTGAGTCTGAGCATCCTTGCTTGCTCAAGGATGGCTTTCTCTGTAGATTCAGCCTGATTCTGAGCATAATGGAGCTTAAAGGAGCCAGGGCAGGGGAACTCATACAACTTAATGTTCCTGAGATGGGAAAGTCACATGGTTATATCTGTGACCTGAACTCCAATTCAACTGGGTTTGCCTGATGCTGCCACCTATAGCATCCAGAGGATACATGCTTTGTGAAAAGTCCAATGGGCTTCTAGAAGAAATTTGATGTGATGTCTCCTGTGTCAGAGCCAGAGTGAACTGGAATATACTTTACTGCAAGAAAATCAGGAAGAGCTGAGGAATAAAAGGGAGATCTTGTCTTGTCACAAATTTTTCTTACCCCACAGGACTTTCAGCATAATTCACCATCCATTTTTGCATCCTTTTCTGGGACATTCCTAGGAAATAAGAGCCTGCAGGTCTCAGGCAACTGCTTGTGTTACACAAAGCAATCTGCTCTGTCCAAAGGCCCAGAAACTCTGACCCTTTACACAGAGAACGAAATGCAAAATCAAGAGTGAGAGGAAAACCAGAAGTTTCTTGATGAAATTAAATACATTTTCTTTGTGCATTCTCTCCCCACCCTCTCCTCTGGGTACAACTAGGACAGCATTTATCAACTGGAAGATACTTGGCTTTCCAGGGATCTTTGCAATGTCCAGAAAAATGTGAAGTTATTACACCTGGGTTGACCCAAAGTACTATATTTGTGTCTAGTTCATATGGCTACCCCACAATGCACAGGACAACCATGAGGAATTTCCCATCTTAAAATATCATTTAACGGCAAAACAGAGAAACCATGAGCTGATGTGAAAGTTTCTTTAAATGCTGGTCACCTTCCCAATAGCTTTCTCTTCTAGGCAGACTTTGTTACAGAGTGCCTCCTTAGAGCGGTCCTGACCTGGATTCTGCTCATCTCATATCTCTGTGGTCCAGAATAGCTAAGAATTGCCCTCATTCTGACCGAGGACAGATAGAGCTAAGATCTGGGTGATCACTGCTTTGTTTCTGCTGCCTGCTTACATCAGAGCTCCCAGCTTGGTCCAGAGAGCAAGCTTCCTCAGCCTTCAGGGGAAAGCTGAACCAAAGCACTCCCATGATGGTACAGCTGAACACACCTCTTTGGGTAGGAGAGAGCATAGAACCATCACACAGTCTCATGGGCTCCCAACTTTCATGCCAGCTTGTTCATTTGCATTCACAGCAATCTGTCATTTTCCTGGATAACCACAACCTCACCTTCCCATCCTCAGCCCTGGGGATATCTCACTTCTCTTTGCTTGTCAAATGAGACCTTCTGTGTAAGATACAGATCTCATGGTGTGAAATCCTGAACTACCTTAGGACAACTGAGGAAAAGTAGTTCAATGTGAATCAGACATTCCCTTGTGTTTATGTTTTTTCCTCTTTGTGAATAAGATTTTATCAACTTATTGCACTATTTTAGTTCTGTCTTTGAGGGGTAAGAACTATTTGGGAAAGAATTAACAAGCATGATGACATAGGTTGGGATACGTTTTCTTTGTCATGGTAATTGTTGGCTAGCAGTCTGCATCATTCACAGGAACTGATTTGTCTCAGTCTAAGTGCAAGGCATTGCATGTGCTAAAGTGAAGAAAAATAAGTGTTCTCTGTGTGCATATAAGCTGGATTTCCACAGATTTAATGCAGAATGACCAGATTCTAAAGCTGGGAAGGAAAACAACAGTGTCTGAACTCTTAAGAGACTTTTTCAAAGGGCTCCCAGCATAAGTAGAATTCATTGCAATTGCCCTTTATGACAGAGATGGGACAGAGGGATAGCACTCATCCTATGGTTGGGTCCAATGCTCCTCCTCTGGACCTCTTAGCCAAAACCTGAGTCTGGGGGCTCCGTTCAAAGGATGGTCTATAAGGTTTTCTCCTTTGTCCAAGGGGGACTCTAGGGCAACAGAAATAAGGAATGTGATTTGCATGTGAAGTGACATGGATGATTAGAAAAGGTAACTGTATCGCTGTGTACTCCAGGTGGCGCCATATCTAACATGTACGCCATGCTCATCGCTCGCTTTAAGATGTTCCCAGAAGTCAAGGAGAAAGGAATGGCTGCAGTTCCCCGGCTCATTGCCTTCACATCCGAGCATGTATGTCTTTCTGTTCTCTCCAACTTTTAGGTTGTAGTCTGGAAAGCTTGAATTGAAAGAACGTATGATATTTGAGAATGCTTTATCTCCAGAAATTCTCTCTCCAGAGACAGTTGTGGGGATAAGAGGAGGGGACAGAATGGCTGAGTAAAACAGTGGGGGAAATGTCTTTCTCTTGGAAATTCAATAAGATTTGGGAAAAGGAAAGATATTTTAAGCTCTAGTTCTTATACTTTGTGTTTCTGTAATAATGTGATGTGCGAGGCGGAGAGAGGGCAGAGTGACTATGAGCCCCATTAGACCACTGATGCAGTTCCTACATAGCTCAGCAGACAGAGCTTCCTGCTCAGACAGTCTGTTTGAAAACATAGTCCTCAGATCAGATATTCTTCTTCCACAATACCTTGAATCATTTAATATTAACCATTTCTGTCTAGAGTTGATCACACTAGAGAAATGGTCTGGTGCTCTGTCATGGACTCTCCACAGCATGGCCTCAGTCAACTGACCTCTCACCTACTGCCAGCTTGCTCTGGTCTTTCTGGTTAAGTGCAGGCATAGTACTTGATATTCCCCTGGGGTTTTCAAAGAGTTAATGTTATTCTTCCTCAGCCCTTGGCGTGACTGAAAATGTGCCCCATTCTGTTGACATAAGTTGAAGAAAACAGCTTTAACTTGCCATTGTCTCACATAATGGAGTAAAGCAGCGTATAAGCTCAAAGGTACATTAAACATGTTTGAGCAACATCTTTGTTCCAAAATATATCCATCATTCTGGATCTGCAGTAAACTGGAGAACTTTCTTGACAAGTGTTTCATAAGCATTATCTTCCCCAGCTTTCCTCAGAGAGTTCTTCACTAGCTCCCTTTTAATATGCTCTATGATCTAGAAAACAAGTGCCTCAAGGATAACTAAAAATGCTCTGAGGGTCACAGAAATAGGAAGTGGAAGAACAGAGAGATCTAGGTGGATGCTAGGAGCACCTTGTAAGTTTATGTCACTTAGAGAAGCAGGAGTTATAATGGACCTCAGATATACTATGGAACACAGCTTTTCTTCTTCCTGTTTTGAATGCTCTCTCTCTCTTCCTCCCTCTCTCTCCTCTCTCTATCTCTTTGTTCTTCTCTCTTTGTGAGTTTGCATATGAGAGAGACTTCATAACAAAGCAACAAAGGAAGTCCAAATTCAGATTGGAATCCACTGAATACAATTCACAATGACCCACAGAAGTAGTCATGACAAATGAAAGAAATGAATCATTTCAATTAACAGTTTGTCTTTTCCATCTTGTGCATACTTCTGTTTAAGCATTTTTAAATGTCCTTTATCAACTGAAAGGAGTCAAATTTATTCGAGAAGGTCACATAACCTAATAAAGCCTAATTTCCCATGGTTCCTGAGACAAATTACTACAAACTTAGTGGCCTGAAACAACCTGGATTGTTTATCTTAGAGTTCTAGGGGTCCAAGCTATATAATGGGGAGGGGAGGGCAACAGTCCATTGGGAAACCATAGAAGAGAATCTGTTTCCTTGTCTCTTCCAGCTCCTAGAGGCTGACTACCTTCCTTTTTCATGAGCACTTCAGCTCTCTTAAAAAATAGCTTTTGGCTCAAAAATAGCATCAGAACATGTTCAAATCTCTGTCTCCATGATCCTTTTTCTCTGACCCTCCTCTCTCCCTCTCCCCTTACCAGGCTCTGGCGATTGCATTGCATCCACCCAGAGAATCCAGGCACCCTCCACTCTCAACAAACTTCATTATTCACAGTTGCATTCTAATATGTATTTAATATTTTGTGTATATATATATATATTTCTATATAAGCTTATATCTTCTCACATTTCCAGGATGAGGCTGCTATGTCCAGGTTAAGGATGCTGCATCTTTGGTGATGGGGCATTGTTTTAGTTCACTGAAAGAACACCAAGAGCCAAATTTTACTTTTCAACTTCTTTTGGGGTAGAAAAGCTTTTTGATATAATCTTTTCCCCAATTACGATTTTCCTGAAATCCATTTGGGCTTCCAAATAGTTAAATGTTACTATATTCATGGGCTAGAGTGACAGCACAACCGTAGGTAGGGCATTTGCCTTGCACTCGGCCTGCCAGCCCGACCTGAGTTGGATTCCTCCGCCCCTCCGAAGAGCCCAGCAAGCTACCGAGAGTATCTTACCCGCACAGCAAAGCCTGGCAAGCTACACATGATGTACTCGATATGCCAAACACAGTAACAACAAAGTCTCAGAATGGAGACATTACTGGACCCACTCAAGCAAATCCATGAATAATGGAAGGACAGTGCAGTGCAGTGCTACTATATTCATGTGACATCTTTTTCTTGACATGCTATTTCTACAACCTGAAAAGAGGTAGAAATTACCCTGTGCTCTCAGGTTTATGAAACTTAATATGACCTGAGAAAAATTCTGTTGTATCTCCTTTTAAAAAAATCTTTTTCTCTTTATATTTTTTAAAATCTATTTAAATTTAAATTGGATTACCATGAGAGACACTGTTACAAAGTTATTCATGATTGGGTTTCAGTCATACAATGTTCCATCACCTTCCCTTCACCAATGTACATCTCCCACTACCAATGTCCTCATTTCCCTCCTTTATTTGTTTTTCAATTAAGATTCCCAGCACAATCATCTTTGGCAGCCACCAATCTCTTTATCTATGAGTTCAGTTTTCTTTTTTCTTTTCAGTTTTAACATGCAAGTGAAAGATCATATCATATTTGTCTTTCTCAAATATGGCTTGCTTCACTTAGCCTAATAGCCCACAAGATCTGTCCATAGTTGTCACCAATGTCAAGACTCCCTTCTTTTAATATTCCATTTTATCTGTTTACTTCATTTTCTTTATCCATTTTCTTGATGGACGCTTGGACTGCTTCCATATCTTGGCCATTGTGAATGATGCTGCAATAAACATGGGAGAGCAGACACTTCATTTCCTTTAGCTAAATACCCAAAAGTGGAATTGCTGGGTGAATAAAAATGGTAGATCTATTTTTAACTTTTTGAGAAACATCCATCCTCTCCTATAGTGGTTGCACTAATGTTCAATCTAACCTAAAGAGCATAAAGATTCCCTTTTCCAAACTTGCCAACATTTATAGTCTATCTTCTTGAAAATAGCCATTTTACGTGGGTCAAAGTGGTATTTCAGTGTGGCTTTGATTCGCATTTCCCTGATTAGTGATGCTGGGCACCTCATCACGTGCCGATTGGCCATTTGAATCCCTTTTTTAAAAATTATATACTCAGATCCTTTGCCCATTTAATTAACAAGTTTATTTTTCTGGTATTGAGTTGTATAAGGACACCTTCTTTTCCTGATATTGTAATACTTGGAGTTTTCTTCATTTCCAGTGGAAAAATTTAACTATAAAATAACCATTTCATCCTTTCTCCTCTTTCTGCTATCTCTATGGACACTCTTTATTTTGAAAAACATTTAAAGTTCAGTCATAGAATGCATGTGTGCCTTGCATCTATGAGGCATTGGGTTCAATCCCTGTCATTATTCTCCCTGATACCCTCCAATTTCATGAAAAATAAAATTGAACAATAAACATTTTCTAAAATATGAATAGGTTAAAGCTGCCAATCTTATAATTGGTCTAATTTATGAGGTGATATATTTTTCTAGTGTATTAGTATATTAGTTCTTTTAATTGCTATTTGATCATCTCCAAACACTTCCAATATACATAATCGTGTTGTTATCGTGAAATGGTAAAGCAGGAAAGAGGGAGCTAAATTTAGTTACTCTTCGCACTTCCTGCTATATCTCTGCTTTCCTTTCCACACTTATTTTAGGGTCTTAATCTCTTCCACATTACTGTCTCCTCCACCCAGTGCTGTCAAAACCTACTGCCAGGAAAGAACCTAAGAGTCAAATAAATGGTTGTCAGACCCAAGTATTGTCTCTCATGCAGGTGTTTCCATTGCTATAAGAGACAAAGAAGGGCTTAGAGTGATAGTACAGCAGGTAGGACCCTTGTTTTGTATGTGACCAACTTAGGTTCCCCAACACCCCAAATTGTCCCCTGAGCTCACCAGGAATGACCCCTGAGTACAGAGCTAGAAATGTGCCCTGAGCACAGCTGGATGTGAACAAAAAAGAGAGAGAAATGAAGTGGTTAAAACATAAAGCCAGTGGGGGGGGGGGGGGGGACTGGAAAGCTTTCTAGTTTCAGTTTTTTTTGTTTCTTTTTGGTTTTGTTTTTTGGCTTTTGGCTCACATCTGGAGATGCTCAGAGGTTACTCCTGACTCTGCACTCAGGAATTCCAAACATTGCATCTGCACTGAGAGACTAGCCATGAATAGAGCTGACCCAGTACCCACCCTCAAGGAGCAAACACGATACTGGGAAGAATGAGAGGAGAGATCACCCTCCTAAAGATACTGGAGATCGCAATCCATGTCAGGACGGGGATGTCATCCCCTTATTATGAATGCCAAGGAGTGACTGGAGAGGTTTAGCTTTCTTTATAAGCTTTTGACTTGATTGAAGAAGGTGACTGGCTCACTCACCTCCCAGGACCTGACCTCAGAGTAGCTATTTCATTGCTTTCTTGTCTGTATAATGGGAATTCTGATGCTAAACTTGCAGAGTTGTTGGGGAAATGATGCATGATAATATAGGTGAAGGGCAGGGCACAGCACCTAGCCTTCAGCAAGCACTCCTAAGAGTGCAAGAATCACAGCTAATGTTGCTGTTCCAACTGGCCAGGTCCTGGTGCCCTACGTGGCAAAGAGCTGAATCCATCATAGAGGCAAAGTGGAGGCAGCAGGGAGGGTGGTCACATGAAGGGGGCATATCTGGTGTCAAATTATGTCCTTAAGATAGAAAGAGATGCAGATGGGAAGCTTCTAGGATACCAAATCAATACTCAAATACTCGAAGCCCAGGGACAGCTTGGTTTGCCTCTCATTACTTGCATGAATGAGACATATCCCTGAATTCTCCATGTATCCTATCTTT